CTTATGTGTTTTTATCAGCAAGTATAGCACGGGGCAACACGGTGACTCGATTTTGAGCCGTGTTATCAAGGAATGATCCAAACCCGCTGATTTGGCCGTAGTCATCCACACTCGGTTCAGTCTGCGACACTGCGTTTGAAAGTCCTTGGCTGAGGATTGTCGGTAAATAGAGGTATCTCCCAGATGGTGTTTTGTTATGATAACGTCAAGTTGACGGGGGATTACCACGAATTCTCCTCCTTTGTCACTAACGGATAGTCTGATGGTCCGGGACTTGATTAAATCTTGAAGCAGCTTCAGACCATAAGCTTGCTCTCGGCTGATGTTGGATGGCATGCGTTGTTTTTGGTATGTACCGAGCACTTTAAATACTTCATCAGCGAATATTCTGAAGCTGACATCGGAACTAACGTTGGGCTCCTGTTGTTTGAAGTACGTGCGAGGAAATGGCACGTTAAGGGCGTTTGTATCAGGGCCAGGTATGAGGGAACCGCTGTCGACCTTAGCCTTGTACCGGAGCCGGTCTTGGAGGTCATGTAAGTTGCATATAATTCTGCGCAGAACAAAGGTGGAAATGGACTGAGATGGTGAGAAACTGGGGCCCAATTCCAACAAGGAGCGTGCGCAGTCCGGTAAAGGGAAGTCTCCCAGCACTGTGACTCTGGATCCCGTCAAATCCGATCGCCCTGTCATACTTGTTGCGTGTTCTGCGGGAACCCGACCAGTCATGGTAGGAGATGACCCCTCTTTGAAATCACGTGATGCACTGCAAAGGTTATCAAATTTCTTTTGTAAGGTAGTCTTGACTTTGGATCGGATAGAATTACAAATCGACTTCGACTCACCCACTATCCTCTTCCAAAGGCGATCCTCAAGATATCGAGCACAGCACTGTTCTTTTGACACACACTTCTTCAACATCGTAAACATATGATCACGCCTAGTACGTAGTGCTAAACGAAGTAATTGCATTTCAATCTCAAATATCTTGCGGTCGCTCTTTGACACGGGGTGTGGGAACTTAGTTACGACTGAGATAAATTTAGGTACGACCGAGATCACTTCGCGTCTAGGTACGAAGCGACCTAAATCGTACTTAAATTTATCTCAATTACTCGCCTCTCTTCAACCGAACCCAACCTCATCTCAATTATGAGGGTGATGGCAAATGACGAAAATGATAAGAAAGTGAAACTTTAAGAAAATCAATTTCTAACGTAAAGTTTCCAACGCCTTTGGTTCAAAAAGTTTTATTACCATGTAAGGTAAAAGAATCAATAAAAACCAACTCCAATCAAGTTTAGAGAAGCCTAGTTCTCCTAATAAAAAGTGTCGTAAAATTAATAATCAAACAACTAACAACAATTAATAATCGTAACGAATTGGGGCATCTTTATGCAAAACTCTTCGATTTGGATGCGATTTGCACCTCTCCGATAAACCTCGTCGAAGTGGTTGGGTAGTTGCAGAAGTATTATAGAGCGAAGGCTAAGGTTCTGAGCGAGGCTTCTTTCCTATTGTCATCACTTACGCACCAGACAAAATAGTGGCTTATGAATAGTCTCTTCAGTGTGCTGAATTTAGCTTGAAATATTGTGATGTACATATGTGGAATGACCTAACAGGTCTTCCGAAGTGCATTCAGTGACCTTTCGAAGGCGAGATGCCCTAATATCAAACAACTACATCGCTTCTGTAAATGTTTTTTGATATCACAAATGAGTGAAAACTCAAAAAAAAGGCCCAGAAAACCCTTGAAACCGCAGATGTTGACAATTCTACTGTTCACAACCCTAATTTTCTATTGAAATTTCACTTTCTGCCATCACCTTCATAACTAACATGAGGTTGGGTACATGAGGTGATTGAGGAGAGGCGCATAATTAAGATAAGTTTAGGTACGATTGAGGTCACATTGCGTCCAGACGCGAAATGATCTCAGTCGTTCCTAGATTTATCACAATCGTAAGTAAGTTCGCACACCCGTGCCAACGCGATCCACAGGGCGCAATTTACCGGCAAACTGGCATTACCAAATGTGGATGCGGTATCATTCAGGTTGTCGCGCTAATTTATTGCTCATATCATGTAGACATTTTATCATAGAGAAGCACTGTTTAATGTCGCGGTCTTCTTGAGCATATAAAGCCTTCGTTTTCACCATCCTTGGACGTTGAACTTGATCGTGGTTTTGGTGAGCTTCCTTAGTTTCTTGTTTTTACAGAGTCCCGGATGGCTCTAAAATGAACCTGACAATATCTTTTTCTGCACACTTATGTAGCGCATTATTCAGGTATGTCATTTTTCTGTATATTATTCCCATACAATACCACTCCACGAGTGATACCTAACTGGTTTTGAGCGTGTCCTCACGCCGTTTTTGGGAATATCAATCGTGGTTCTCTCAGAAGTTGTTGAGAACGTTCTTATTGGGTTATGTATACTTAACTATATCACTGATCGTTTCTACTGACACCGTGTGTGTTAATGCAGGAGTTTCTCGTTGAGACTATGGCAAGAGCATAAAAAGAGTAGTAATGGGCACTAATCATAGGATACTTGGTTGCAGTGGCGGTTCAAGATGAGATGTATACCACCGTAAGTGATTTCGAACGCTGACCTCGAATCTATGTTCCAAATCTGCTAAACGATCTTGGGAACCAAGTAACGGAACCAATTTCTCCTTGTTATACCAAAATACAACACAACTGAACCCATCAAAGCCGAAGCTCTGCAACGGTTCCGGAGCTGGTAGGATGGTAGACGGGCAGGTATGACACCTAAATTCCAATCTTTAGTGCACGAGTCCGTTTTGCTTTTCCATGAAATACCTTCTGAATGCTTGCCAATCGTTTGGGTTCGATATGTCCGTCTATGCAGCTTCCTCACATTTTAGGATTCTGGGGAATAGTAATCCAGTAGGAACTTTTTCATCAACACTGACTAAAGATACGCCGCTCTAGCTTGATTACTCAAGTTAGTGTATCAAAATTTTCTTCAGCTCCCAGCACTTACGGTAGAGGGCGATCAAATGACTCATCTGATCAGAGCCCTCTTTGGAAGGAATACGGTCTCAAACTCGAAGTATACTATCCACATCTTCGAAATGCTAGTACAAGCTAATGATGTTTCTAAAAAAATCTGTGGAACGAAAGTTGATCGATTCGTGTGCATATAACGATAATCCTTTAAAAAATCTTTTATCGAGGTAAACGTGGGTAGTGCGGTGGGGCATGATATCACGGCCCGACTCAAAGCCCTAAATCCACCTACGACTTTCTTCAAAGTTAAGCTCTCTAAGAAGTTCATTGTCAATTTCGAGCGTCATCCAGTGGAACTGGCTGTTTCAGATCGATTCCTATGTTCATTTTATGATAACTTATCCTTTCAACTCGTCCGCTGATCTCTATAGCCAACAGATAGATCCTTTCATTTGCACCCGATAGTCACATCACATGAAACATCATAGTTTGCCGAAAATGGACTAATTCGAAAACTCATGGTCTCTTTCTCTCACTTCCTCTTAATTTCCGTGGATGGCACTCGGTCGTGATGGAACAGCACTTGTTTTCATGAGCGAGGAAGTGCAGCTTCTTTTGACACTCGAACTGTGGAAGGTTATGGACTCTCTTCTACCAGCGTCATAAAATTGAAGCCAATGGTTCAAATTGCAAAGTTGAAGGCTTCGTTTCTCTTCGAAACCTCTATATCCCCACGAACGTAAGAGGTTCCTCTCTCTCGCGATGTGCTGAATCCATCGTCTCCTCGCAGCGGATAACGAGCTTATTTACATAGAATCAGGTAGTGTGGTTGAAAAATCCTCTATTATTTTCTATTCCTTCCTAGATAGCGCTCTGATTATTCTACAAGACCGAAATTCCCGCAATAAATGCGATGACATTACTTTCGGGCAGAATATATCGCTGGTATAGTGCTGAAGAGCGTTTTGATCCGAAGAATCACTTCACACTTCTACCTAAAGCTTTTGAAGCCCATTTCAAGCAAATGTTTAGAATTCCTCTTTTCCTCGAATGAAGCATCAATTTCATTCGGCCGGTGAACGGCTAGAAAAACTTCGGTTCAATACCTTTTCAGGGTTCCTAAAATGCGATGGAGCTTCGTAGTTAGCCATTGTCGAGTCCGAAAACTTCTTGCAAAGGTTACCGACGCATTTCATGAAAAAGGAAAACGAGCGCACAAATCAAGGATCCGGACCTTCATGCCATGCCTACAGGCCAACCATGCTACTAGATGCGCCTCCGTTGCACAACGAAGTCTTTGCTCGGTTCGGGTATCTGTTCAGCACTTTGTTATAACACAGGGAGGGTTGAGTTCCGTGATCTTGTTTCCAGAATCATCTAGCAGATTCGGACACATATTCAAGATCGGCCTTCAGAACCACCCACGTTTGTAAACATCTCCATCATGAATGGCTGATAAGCGAGAACTGGCTCCTTTCAAGACCTTTGCGTCGCGTCACAACGGAAGTGTGCATATCTCCTTTTCAATATGAGCCTCCGTTAATACCTTGGCGATCGGAAGTATGCACCAAATTCTTTTTGGGCTTGAAAAATGTTCCTGTTTGTTCGTTCGAACCCCAGTTCTATGTGGCGAGTTTTCTCCCACATGCAATAGCGCACAAAAGTCGCTTCAGCAGTACGCTTTTTTTGCGGTGAATCAGATCACATGAAATTATGTGTGTTATGCAGTATGTTATGCAAAAGCATGATATCGACATTTCACTACATTTGACTGACTAGTCGGTGACGCAGTTCGGCATTACTCAAGCATCCTTCTACAGCTTGCTGACTAATGTTGCCGTCCTTGTTTTCACTTAATTTCGCTGCGATATAGTTTCAGTGTAATGGGGATCAGATATGAAACGGCGCTTCTTCGTTCATTTTGTTTAACAATAGCGTGAGTTCTTCTTAAAGCATTGACATTGGATTGCCTAAACTTATACCGTCGGAGATACCGCAAGAGTGTTCCACGTCGAACCTTCAAGGTCGTCTGCATGGCGAAGACCTTCATTCCATGCACTTTCGTGCTGTCTGAGCTTTATAAGCGGCTTGGAGAATTCAGGTCGTGTCGTTCGGGTAATGTCTCGTGAAGGCAGATCAAAATAGAGAATGAAAAGAACGCAAACAAAGCACGGTCAAAAAACGCAAAAAACCTACCTCATATGCGTCAAATTCGCAGTGGCAGCAAAATTTCTGCGTATAAACAGACACCTCTTTCCCACGAAAGCAATTTAATACGGTTCTCCCGCGAAACTCATAAGAACAACATAGTGAAGTTTCATGCTATTCGGTCAATTACAAAAAGTTACGAAAACAGTGTTTCGCCAAATATTTCTGAGTGCTAATGTATGTTCACAAGTTTTCGGACAACTTTTCATCAGTTGATGCTTTACGTATGTGAATGTTTGTCCCTAATATGGTTTTACCCAAGAACTTAAGCCAACTTTCACTTATGTGTTTGCAGCGAATCTGAAAAGAAAAAAATAGACCATCGGTCGCCTAGACGGGGAAATGATGTTAGACGGCGATGAAATGACTAATATAGGCAACACCTTCTGTGATATTCACTCATTTGGTTTTCATTTGGAAAACTTGACAGATTCGAATGCATGCTAGAGCTGCACAATGATAGGATCAGCCTGTACTATATAATTTTTACATGCACATGCATTCCGATTTATTGAACATGTCCGAAAACAGACCCTACTATTTCCAAACTTGCTGTATAAGTTCGAAATGGACTTTCAAGGAGGTACAGGCGTAAATCTCGCAAGTGTGGGTTCTATTTGAAAGAGTGCGGACAACACTTAGTCTTTTGGCTAGATTGTATTTTGTACCAACTTCATCGTAAAGTTTTGTCACTAAGTTGAGGTTCCCAGCTGAAGACTCATAAAAACGCTGGTTCCAATCATCCGCTTTCGATGACCGTGAGATTGATGCGTGTGCAATGTTGGTTGCGTTCTCCATGGTTCCGCGTAACCATGCATTTCGAATACCCTATGATTCGCCTTTACAAGTGTCGCCTATAGGTGGTATCAAGTCGGGTGTGTGACATCGGAAAAGCGGTTGCAGTTTTCAGAAGGGTTGTAGTTTTTGAGAAGACCGGATGGGTTGCGCACGCTAGTGCGTGCACCATATGCCCACTACCGCTTACCAACGACTTGTTAGAGGACCAGTATGATCAGTATTGGTTGACTTCCCATTTCATGACTGTTCCCTCACCGCGCTCACGTGGAATTCACACCCTTCCTCGTGCTTACGTGGCTTTTGGAAGGACGCACAATCGTGCAGACACACACACAAAATTACTGCTTTACATCGGCTTAACACCGGGTTTCCCTCCTTATGATAGAGTTGTGACAAACGGCAAACAGCACACTCCTTCTTTGGAACGAATTATACTTTTCGGAACACGATGTTCGATAGAGGAACTATAGGGCATGCAAAGATAATCAGAATGTGCCGATGCCTACGCCTCTGATTAGAATCTGTCTGTTCCAATCTGTCGCTATTGGTGTTAAAAATAATGACCCAATGAAGATTTAAATGGTAGGCATTCAAAACCTCGAATGGTACTCACAAATGTTGTCGTGTCATAACAATACCATTATCAAATGTCTTTATGAATGTAGATCTTTGACTCCACGGATACATCATTAAATGAGAATCCAAGATTGTTAGCGGTCGGATAAGTTTTGCCATGAATGATATCAAATCGGTGAGAAGCCATGATCCTTCATTGAATCACGAACTCTGCTGGGTGGCGGTCGTAAACACGAAGTAAACCAAATTTCATCTTCTTATAATTGTTCCCTGTCACTGCACTCAACCCTTTTTGTCGAATGAAACATATCAAAGAATCAAAGCTAGATCGTAAATAATAAAGGCGCTAGCATTCAATTGGTGTTTGGACTTTGTTCTCTTTGTTCTCTAAAGCCTCTTCTATCGTCAGTCTTCTTCTTCTTCTTCTTCTCCCTAGTGTTAGTCCCGCGCCGTCGCAGGATCCGCTGTTCTTATCAGTTGTTTCCACTTCATTCTATTTACGGCATCTTCTGCCGTCATCTTGACTTCGGCGAGGTCCTTCTTGATCACGTCCCGCCATCTCTTCTTTGGGGCTCCCCGTGGTCGCTTGCCTTGCGCCTCGAACTCCATTGCCTTCTTTATCGGATGGCTCTGTGGTCTTCTTAGGACATGTCCGAACCATCGTAATGCTCCCTCATCTTTAGTTGAACTGGAGCTGTTTGCATGACCGTCCTGACGTCTTCATTCCTGATCCGGTCCAGTCGCGTCCAGCCGCAGGCCCATCTCATCATTCTCATTTCAGCGGAGTG